GAGTACTGAAATGACTCAACCTAGTAGGTAAGGACTGGGCTTGTGTTAGGCAGAATATGAATTTGGACCCCTCCCACGCACAAATTTGCGTCAGTCGAAGGCTTATCAATAAAGAATTTTCTCTAGTCAGACAAGGTTGGTATGCCGGGTCGGTATGCCAGAACAAGTTTCATTAAGTCTTTATATTCCTATAAAGCAAGGTTCTGCCAATCTCAGAATCGTATTGACTAGAGCCAACATTAACAATTAGAAATTTATGCCCCTGTTAAATATATACAATCCAATACCGTGTCTATGAACAGGCTAGCTGGGTCATAATTCGATAATTATACGCTTTGCATCTTAATCCAAATCTATTGTAACTAACTGTTATGTCGGGAAACTGTCGTAATATCAAAACCCGTATCGATCAGCAATCGAATTGTGCTTGTGTTTGATTTGATTGCGATATAATTGCGACGAGCATTGACCCGGTAATTATGGTGGCAAGTATTCCGTTAAACCGGCGTTCTGACCAACTCCGTATGTCTAATGACCCAGGTTTGACTGAGTATTCGACTAGCTTCCGGTGTCCGGCATGGGCTTTTCTTTTGTCGATGTCGAACACACACTAACAGTTCTTAAGGACACAAGTGAACAAAATCTCATTCGCCGCATGATCAGTATGTCGATGGGGTCTTCGCTCCGTTCGAATTCGCCCTTATGAGAGGTTGCCTCGAAGTCGTCTTGGCAATACTTAAAGCAGGACTGGGTGATTGTTGCTCTGAAATGGCCATGCTCTGCTTGAGCGTCAAGAAGCGCTGGTACCCATCAGTAATGAACTGCAGCGTTGTTTCTGGAGATGTTTCGGTTTTGTTCCACATCAACTGACTGGAGGCCACATATGACAATGAAACACTCGATCTGGTCCCCCCTCGTAGATAACTTGAATTGTTCGCATTCATGATTGACTCTTAAGGCATAAGTGATGCAGTCTTTGGATCCCTTTTTTTGCCACTTTCATATAGTGATAGCGATTTGTAAACAAAAACGACCGCCCATCGAAAAGTGTCATCAAAAGGGCGTTCATTGCAGGCGAGGGGTGGTTGGTACTCTCTACTCAAGAAAGTCTTCCAAAATCGCCAATACTGTCAATTCGTTGAAATTAATATTATTATTAGTATTATCGAAGCATTGCACTCATTTTGTGCGTAACATGCTGTTTTTCTTACTGCTCAGAATGGGGTAACCCTCTTCCTATATTTCTTTTCAATGAAAACGAAATTTTGATGGGTTCCCGCTGATTAAGCATATTTTGGTAGTGTTAAAATAGGCAGACCATGTGCTCCTGATTTGAGATTTCAAGCTTGAATACCAGAAAACAGTTGAGAAACTGACGGGTTATATCCCTGAGTTTGGCTCGAGCTGCTATCCATAGGGATTGGAAATTATGCTTTTCGGCTGGGTATTTCTCACGCTATGTGGAGCAGCTGTACTCAAGTTTGGTAGAAACGGTAATATATTTAGGAAAGTATTTTTGCACCAGCGACAATTCTCACGGAATAAGTACTTACTCCGGTAGAGCCAGGTATAAACACATAAAGACTTGAGGCCTTGAATACGTCACATTAGGGATGATGAAAAAGTCGTTTGCATGTGATATGCTTCTATTTAGGTGCAACCATTAGGCCGTCAGGATAGAAGATAACAATGGAGTAACCACCTTTATTGTGTTCCTTAAATCCTATAGAGGTTCCCCATGTACGACGAGCGAATTAGTGTGCAAGTGGTTATTTGGGAAAAAAGTCTACAACTGGTGTTCTCAGTGACCATTTAGGGCCATCGACGGTAGCTCTGGCAGTATATCGAAATAATGGTGCTTTTACTGTTGGTTTATCAGATGATAGCTGAGTTGTACGCCAACCAGCTTGAAAAAGTTGTCTCCAGTCGAGGAGACAACATCGGTGCGTATTACCAGCTGAGCAGAAACTGAGAAAGAAACATTTCCAAGCCGACTGTGTGTCACCCAATGCAATGCACAAGTGTGTCAGTACTAAAGTTACCGCGGTCAACACGAGTGTTGTGGGCCTGGAGGGCTTAGTAGCTCCGCCTGTACAAGGTAAGTCAACTAGCTTTTCTGGAGCGAACGTAGTTGGCGAGTGTGCAAAGTGTGCGTGGGAGCCATGACTCGATAAAGGCTCTTGAACCACGTCGGTTGCAAGCAGCCGATCCATTATGCGTTGAACATACGAGAGAGGATTCTGTTTAGGCCAACCCCTTTGTATGCTTCCTAATTTTTGGAAATATATTTCGTCGCACATACTGAAACAAAATCGTCCTGAAAATTCACGTGGTTATTATATCTGCTCGGTTGTTGCGCGAGTTTTTGAATGGTTCTATGCGCCAACTAATCAATCACTCTTATCGCAATTCAGACAGTCTACATTGTTGATTTTCGAAGTACTTTACGAGTAAATTTCGTAAAGATACTTGAAAAATGTAATAACACTTGATGTTGGCTCCCGAAGGTTAAGAAAAAGCCTGGCACATTTTACAGCAGTTGAGGTAAACGCAGGTGTTAGATTAAATGGTTAAAACGTGTAAACTACGCTATTCTGTCTCCTTTTTCACTTCTGGTTCACATTTGGACTTCATACAGAACTGAGAGAATATATAATTGCACTATTGACATCCAGTTTTCAAACCATAAACTCGAATGAATTTAATTACAGAAGAATATAAGTGAACAACTTATTGCGTCGCTGATCTTATTTAACTTGTATGCAGTCGTCACTAGGTGAGCAAAATTGGACGAATGTGTCGCCATCGTACATACATCTTGGACTAAACAACTGACACATGGTTTCAACGATGGAGGAATTTTGAACTTGCTTTGAAAAACCAGAGGGGAGAAAATACCAAATTGCTTGTTAGAGTATCGTTTTTAGCAATCTTCGAATAGCTGTATCTGAACTCATCGGCTCGCTGTAAGTTCATATTTAGGTTCGCCGAGCTTTCTTGAATTTTTTTCTGACCAGCGTTCACATCAGTCTTATACTTGGTCACTTAGCTCGACTGTGTGGCACGAAGTTAAACGCTTTCAGTACCCGGTGGGGGTGGAATGCCTGTAAAAACATCTTGTTACTTCAGGTTGGCCTAAAGGACTGCACGGGTTCCAACACAAGGAAGCATGTCAGAGACTCACAAATCTCTACAGCACCAAAAGTTCAAGAATGGTGAAATATACTCAATTACATACCAGTTTGGTTTTGACGGGAGGCCCACATTGAATCCAGGTGAATTTCCCACTTATGATAGGAGAATAATTTTTAGGGATTCTGATTAAGCCGTTTCCGAAAGTCACTGACGATCTAGAACACCGTCTGATTAACGTGAAACAAAATGTATGTAATAAAATGATGCGTCATGTAGGAAACAGTAACCATGGTTTTTATACGGCTTTGACGTATTCAGGACAAATTCGTAAGAACCCATATTGTGTCATCCAGAAACCCCGAACACATACGTGGCCCCATTGTTAGACAGTGTATCTAACCTAACACTATTTACCACTTACGTTTTCACGCATTTCTTTATCTGAGCATCTTCCGTCCACCAGTTATCATCGTCTTCAAGACTTCATTTCTGACACATAGATTTACTACATCTCTATAGTTTGGTTTCCTGCAATTAAATCTTCCACTCTATACGCACTTTGCTATCCTATTTCATACTTATATTTAAGGCAACAGGCGCCGTAATCTTCATCTGCTTTGGTATCCAGTGTCAAACAACACTGTACCTGATGCACCGAAGTAGCCGTAGTATTTAGGAGGTCTGGACTGTGTACTGCGAAATCACCACCCAATATAACTGAATATTTATCCGAAATTTGGTTCGGCGGCGTCGCACTAAAATAACACCACGCATTCTTAATGTGTATTGATAGCCACAAATATCACAATCAGCCATGTTGACAAAGCATCAAGAGGTAATTGTTAGAACACGGGCATTTGGAGCACGTATATTCAGAATAATATGTCTGCAGTCATATACATTCAGTTCAGTGATAAATCGGGTGCTGATTTCCACCGACCCGGTTGACCTTGATTCCGAATAAGTTCGTCGCAGTAGGGATTGTTCTGTGGATCACAAGGTTGCCCTGTTGCATGCTTTGACAGCTCCAGTAGACTTTTCCTGGTAGTCGTACTCTTGCGAACTGGAATCGCCACTGATACTTCGACGGTGACAAGCAGAACCAAGAGCAGATGAGATGATAACATTGTTACGAATGGCAATCGAAAACGGCCTGCACCTTCGCCGAGGTTCGTTTATAAGTGCTCTGATGCGCTGAATGATGATTGGATTAGATTTAGGCCAAGTTGGTATCGAAACATGGATCCAATATACGTAGTGCTGATTGGCCATTATACTGTCCACCAATAAGCGCAGGGTCAGCAGACTTGCTGTGTACCGCCTCACATTTCCGTAGGAACAGTCACATCGTTATCATATTTCATTTTACCATCTGGATAGTACCTTATTTTGCATCGCCGCATCAAGGCAGAGTTATGGCAAAAAAACGTTAGCCAGCGGGTTGTGCAACTACGAGTAAACCTCTTACGTCGTCTCCAAGATAACCCCAGTAACCATTCTGTGCAAATGAATCTGAAATAAACTGAACATACATCAGTTATAAGCAGAATATTCGGAGAGAAATAGGACTTGAATATAATAAACTCAGGAGTGACCATTCAAACTACCAGACGCAATTCCGAAAAAGGCCGGAAGTGGTTCGACAAACTTCGAAGTAGATGAAAATTGGAGTTAATGAAAACTTAAATAGTAAAAGAGATGCATTCAGTTATCATAAAAGTGACGGCTTGATGTTCAAAGTAATACTTTAATCTTTTGCATGGTTTGGTTTAATAGGCATGGCCTAATCCTCACTGCGCAAGCAGAAGGTGTGCTTTCCCGCGAAAATATTGATTTTTTCGATTTTTTTCAAACTACCATCTAGTATGCTTGTTTGCTGTCAGAAAAAATGCCTAGTTTTGCATTTCTGCCAGCAATTCATATACTTGTTTGGATTGGTGACAGCCTATCTGTCACCAAAAGACAACATAATCTACAGCAAGGTAGACGGGCAAATTAAATGGTGCTCGAATCAAGTGAAAACTGTTTGTATGCCCGAAATACAGGAAAGTGTAAACTGTACAGTCAAGCAGTTTGAAGAAACTTACGGAGAACCACAAAGCAAAGTTCGTTACTTTGGTCGAACGTTTGACACGCAGAAACTGGAAGCTGGCCTTTACCATATTTCATGTGTTGATGTCACCAATGTAGTGGAACAAATGAAACTGATTTTGCATGACCTTCAGTTTTATCTCGACTGTGCGTCAGCACCTCGAGCTCTTACCCGGTTCGAACGGAAGCAAGCAGTGAAATTTTGTGTCAAACACATTCCGCTTCGCGCCTCTTGGATAAGGTATGTACCGCAGCTCAGAACGCTAGGATTCTTGCACACCAAATGCGGTGATACATCCGGTTTGCTTCCCTTCCTAAACGGTACATTGTTGCCAACACAAACATGGGATTTGATCTCGGTAACTTTCACTGTTCTTTGTGAGGACAAAACATTCAATTCAACTGTACATTTTTCTGGTAAGTTTGCTTGTTGTTCCCACAGAAGCAGATGATTGATGACCTTTTATGTTTTTCGGCGGGAAAACAATCATTATCATCATCATTGTCAGCTGTAATAACCGCGTACTTGTCCTACAGTGGTTGCAGCTGCCGTAGTTTCGTTCACCGATGATTTTGGGGGGGGGGTAGGTAGCTGCACATTGGGGGCGGGAGCTGATAAATTGGTACATAAATCCAGCACTGTCAGTGGGCCGTCAAGTGGGCGGGGGTTTGGAAAAGGAGCTATGCATTGAAGGCAATAGCTTGGATGCACGAGCGCCATTGAGGGCGCGACTGGACCGTACCTGACAATGTATCTAGCCACTGATGTGGCCCGTCCCGGGGTCCCCAACAAGGAAGACGGCAGTGACCAGCACAGCTGAGTTTGCTGGTAATGGTTTTCATACTTCGCTGCCAAGTGATTGTTTGATCGCCTCTGGCTCTCTGCAACCCTTCACGTGGTTGTGCGAAGAGATCCCTTCGAGGAAGTCGGTCGACTGGCATACGCAGCACGTGGCCAAACCAACCCAACCTGTGCAGTGTGATCAGTTCATCTATCGAGGGTGAGTTATTTCTCCCGAATACCCTTCGACGTACTTCTGCATTGCTGAAGTACCTATTTACCTTATGTATTCGATCCAAGAGAGGCATAACAAACGGTGAGGATAAAGTAAGTATGCACGTCTTGGAACAAGAATTAAACCCTATGGGTTCTGGATTTGGCCAGATGTTTCCGAAATAATCCTGAATATCCTCGTTATTGGATACTCTTATTGGATACTGCTGTACACCATCTTTAGTTGCGTTCTGCATCCTAGTTGACACCAAGAGTCAACCGATAGTATAAGGCTCAAGAAATATGTCGAGTTTCAAAAGCGACAGAAGTGGCTCATGTAAAACCAGAGGTTGGAAAAATGCACGTTCAGTACGAATTCTTTTGTGACCTCTGAATGAGAAAATGTTTTCCAGGATGGTCCGTTATATGTATTTTGTAAATCCTCATTTCACGCTGTGCAATCAATCCACTGGGCGGGAGGTATGAACTACCGAAGTGAAAAAAGTGCCTGGTCCACCAGTGTTGATAAGCACATCTTATATTCTCAGAAAACTGTTTCAAGGCAGTGACAAAATCACACACACTGCACTTAGTATGACTCAGTATGACCTGTCTGATGATCTAAGGGTAGAAACCCTAGTATATAACAAACCGTTTCACGTGGTGCTGCATAATCTTCATCAGCTAGAGGAAACACATGAGCAGCTACATAAGCAGCGTACTTCACTTATCATTATTCTCATTCTACAATTCGTCGTCCGGTACATTTATGACATGCTCATGAGCATAATCAAACCATCACATTATCAATACATTGAGCTTTTCACAACAGCCCAGTCGTCAGACATCTACACCTAAGTACCGGTCATAATCATCATTGACACTATTATGCCAGTAATACATGACGGCACCTAGCTGCCTGAAGGAAGAAAGTCCTAGTACAGATTGTGAATAAAAGGGAAGGGTGGAGACTTATTACCGGAAAATAAAGAATGTAAGGTGGCAGCTTCCACTCAACATTAACAGGAATAATATCACTAAAATACCCAGCTCATTCGATGAGTGTACCGATGACTTGTACCGACAGCTGACCTGGAGATTAGAGTGAACTCAAGACTTCAGAGGATAGGCATAAGCTACGCTGCGTCGCGTTTCCCAGTGAAGTCACCAGAAGAAGCAGATAAATCAATAAATGGTTTGCTATAGTTTGACCTCACAAAAATTTCTCGAAAGAATTCGGCCGTCTGCTTCATGCTTCAAATTCATGACAAGGAACTGTCTTGTGTGTTTTCTGCATTTAACTTATGAATGACACGAATTTTCACCGGCGCACTGATTCTGATAGGTTCAATTCAAACCACGATGTTGGTATATAACTGCATCCGCTTTCCTACGTTTTAACTGTACACTGATTAATTCCTCCTCTCTGTGCTTGGATGTCTAAGTATTGGCTCGTCCCAGAAGCTGTGAAACCACAGCTCGTCGTAAATAAAAGAAATTTATTCTCACATGTTTGTGTGGTCTTTCTCCCATTGGAAACTAAACAGTAAATCTACACAAAAATTAGGGTGCACCCTGACATGACAAAATTCACACGCGCTTAATTTAAGCTGGCCATGAACTCTAGGTGATTATCTCTCTAATCCGTCCGTTATCCTAAGTTAGGTGTGGTTGCTGAGCCTATGGGAGGCCAAATTGTGCAAACAAATTTTGTCTGTCGTGTGTCCACAGAAACATACCGCCCATAAGATCTTCAGTTGCTAGCTGACAGGATAGGGTGTAGTCGCCAAATTTTTTAGATAAATTATAGTGATTTCCGGGACTCGATGGGCTGACGGTTAGCGTTGCGTATTTATTCATGATTAGCTCTCGAACTACAAACTGTCTCTAGAACTGCGCATTGCCCCCCAGACAGTGGTGTCCTTGATGCATGGTTCTATCTTGGGCTTGTGACAGTTTATACCTCTTTCTACCATTCCATTTTAACAAGAAGACTCATTTTCAGCCAACTTGAAATCATTTTACTTCATTAGAGCATGGGGTTGATTAAAACAGCGTCACTTATTTTTTCGTTGTTCTGTGCAGCTAGGTTCGGTCGATAGATTTAAGAACTGCCGCGTGGACGTAACTGACTACAAAGTATCTAGGCAGGACGTAAATACGCAAAACAAAATCTCACCCCATAAATAACACATTTATTGTGAACCTAAATGGAAAATTTTACTAGTTGAAATCCACTAATCTGAGTTTTACAGGTCACCGTACACGCTGTAAAAGTGATAAAACGTGAACTACAACACGTTTGTCCTCGCCGATCGTAAACGCTACCCTGTGATTCATCAGCCAGACAGTGCAGCAGTCGGGTAAGGAGGAAGGCGCTTCTTCTATGAACCGAAAAAATTCTACCTGACGTCGGATTAACCATAATTTGAGAAGAAACTGGGTAAATGAGAAAGGGAGCTTCAAATAAGGACCACAAATTTGTATAGCAATGGTCCTTAGCCAGTCATATTAATTAACTTTACGCTTTTTGAGGTGGTTTTCCTGTGGTAAATTCTTATCTTGGAATGGATTTTTGGAGGAGTAGATAGTTCTTTTTTTGCTCCTGAGCCCTGCAGATGGATAAACTGATTCACGGACTACGCGTAATGATGCTGTTTCCGCCAGTCGATAAGTAAGAATAAAAATCCATCCCCACGTCTAGCGTTCGACCACCACTAGCGTTCACCACTGTCTGGTTTAAGGGTAGACAACGGAGTACTTAAATGTCACCCTTGGCGACAGCATCGTCTGTAACTGGAATCTAGGTTGAGATTTTTCTCCAGAAATTTGTCAGTCACTGCAATCATTGTATTTGGGCGGTCAGTTTAGTTCAGACAATACAATGTAATTAAATATCTAGTTGGCGTACCTTGTTTTAGATGTGAGTTACAGGTGGTATCGCTTAAATGTGTTCAGTTTCTACACATCTGTGCATTACATTGATCGGGTCTCGCATTCAAAAAGTAACACAGAATAAACAGTGTCTATATTGATCCAGATTGTAGTTGTGAGGGTAACTCCCAACCCACACCATAAGTCTTCATTTATTTATCATAGGCTATTTTAGGTTTACATCGGATTATTAAGTATTCTATAGTTCAGTTTACGAATGGGAATGCAAACTAAGATTACTGAGAACGACCACAAACTTTTCTCACGGCGAAGTCAAACGAAATCACATATTTGTATACAGAAAACATTCATTTGATGCCAGACTGACATTTCGTTCTTCAAGTAGGAGCATGGCGCATTTAACTTTCGCATGTTCTATATGAGTCATTTGGATTACAAACCACGCGCTGATTTTTGCACAAGTTAAACCGTTTATCAGTTTAATAAAGTTGTGCAGTCGACTCACCAGTATTTTAAATAAAAGTTTTCCACAGGCATCCAGTCATGTTTCAGTTCACACTAATTAGTCTGTACACTCTTCCATGAATGGGAGAACAGAACCGTTACTACCAGTTGTGAAATGATCTGAACGTGAATTTAAAGTTATTTCTTTCGTGTAATGCTGAATGTTATTTACCGGAAAGCGTAACGAATGCCCTGGTCTGGAAATAAAATGTAAAAAAAACTTTCAGTTGTTGCAATCCTCTGGTGGCTAGCTGCCATGCCACCCGAAAGAAGCACGAGGGCTGGGATACTGCCAGGCTGCCCAAGTCTAGACAGGGAAGGTCGAGAGTCGCGTTCAAACCACAATCCTTTTTAATAGTAAATTAGCGCTCGAACCACTTGAGCCATCTCGCCCAGTGTTGAGAAATAGGCCTTTTTTCATTCCATTCAATTGGAAGGACAAAATAAAGTGACGTTAGTGACATATACCCAACAGCACTGCAAATATTTTTGCAGGCGTGCTGAAACGATCGCCAATTGTCAGTACATTCAAACGAAAAAACGTGAATCTTTAATACAAGTAAATGAAGAAGAACAAAAATGATTAGAAAATACCGTGTTAAATGCAATTAGGGAATACACCGGGAACTGGATTTGATTCTATTCATACGATGCTCATGGGATACGAAGGCGGACACTTTAAAATTCGAAATGAATCAATAGCAGGGTAATCATTCTAGGTGAACTCACTTTTTGAAATTAATTAAATGCTACAGGTCTAGGTACTTATTTTTTCATTCATCTTTGTTAACCATTTCCCTCAGCAACACAATAAAGTACGTGGAAACTCCAAATACCCACTGCTGAAAGTTCTTTATGTGTAAAAATTCCCACCTGGTAGTTTTTAAATTATTGTGATTCCAGCTGGTCTTTGATACAGTTGCCTTTTTCACTCATTCATTGAACAGGAAGCCTCTATTAATGGTTAGAAAATTGCTTCACCAATTTAGTAACCCTCCATCATGATGTCATAATTTGGCAATGATATGAATATTTTCCGACGCACCCTGCATCTGTTTTGAGGAGCTCCGTTCGCTGATGTCATTCGTAACGGTTCATGTGGGGATCTTTTACATTTTAACATTTCAATCAGTGTTAGCACTTGAGAACCAAAAACCCAGATGCTCGACAAATCTACATAATGTCTGCTAAGCCGCATCTCATGGTTCACTGTCTGTTCTGGGTTGCACGTTTCCAGTAGCCAGAAGCCCATGGAAGCATTTGAGGTTATTTAAGGGTGTGAATATAAGCTGAAAATAAATAATTATATTGGACTGTTTGGCATCATTTGATGTCTTCATTTCATTTGATGCAAATGGTTTGAACTGTCCTGGGGCTTAATTTTCGATGCAGCTGGGTCAGCTCAAGATGATAGCGCTGGTGACATAAGTCACCTCTTTAGGACCGTCCAAGTATAAATCCATGCAGATAAATAGGGTGGTCGTCGTTACATAGTTAAACCACGCGCTTGAGTACGGGAATGTGTTTTGTTTGATTCCAAGTGGTACGTCTCCGTAAGATGGGTTGAACTATGGATCTACCCTTGCTGAAGAAAACTTCTAGTACAGAGGAGCTTTCTTCGGTAAGTCTCATTTTGTAGCAGTTGTTTCACCGCACAATGCACTTTGGAGTCAAGTTGTCTTATGGTCTGTGCCACTGCTTCGGACTATATTCTCGGAATTAACGTTCACCTATGATCGACCGCTGCTTATTATTTTTAGAAGTGGGCACTAAATGAAATTTCTTCTTTTCGTTTACAAAATAGAGCCGGTCGTTTCCAGAATCTCACAAGAAATAAGTAATCCTACCGCAGTGAATGATCGAATGGGATTAGACCTATTTTTCTCCGGGCCACGAACACTGAGCTACCTGCTAGATACGCAAATCCCTAGTGTTGAGTGTTCCTGGAACGATCTACAGGATAATCAAAGTACGACGGAGCTAAATTGGATGCAACTGAATGGGGAAATTGGTTATGAAGTTAGCAAACATGATTCAGGCAGCAGCTTGCTAACGGTACACAACTTTTCTGAGGCCATTTCGACAAACACTTTTCGCTGCACCTCGTGGGCGGAAGAACGATGTTTCTCGAAACTGTGGATATTCAGTCAAGTGCGTAAGTGTCGTTAACATCTATTTATACAGGTGCTGCAATTTGCATTTTATCTACTACCTCGTTGGTGACCAACATGGAAACGATTAATCACAGATGCTGTGGTATAAGAATTTCGACCAGATTTTACCGCGAGCGTATTGTGAATCCCCGGCCTGATAAGAAGGTAAAAATCCACCGAGAAAACGCAGATTAAACAGTTATTTCTATTTAGAGGTTTGGATAACATAGTACGAAAAAGGATGCTGGTAGATATCAGCATTGCATATTGGCTCGTCGGTTACAGACAGACGGGATTCATCGCGAATTAAAATGGTTGACCACACGACCATAGATTGTATTAGCTGGTGAAGTAGGAAAGACGGTGCTCTTTTGCATCATCAAGTATGAGTCATCCTGAGGAAATTAAAAAAGCTGCTACCCTTCCCGCAGAGGACGTCTTGTTGGATCTACTCCAACAACCTTAGCGAGCCTTAAGGTAGCTGATCCTCGAAGGCTTAGACGAAATTCATTTGACGGCCTGTGACAAGTCTGCTAAAGCATAACCTGTAGGTGGTGAAAACGCCGGGCACAAATGAATTTGGGTCTCTCAAAGTAGATTGGATTTACTCACACAAACAGTTGGAACAAAGCTAATATCCCATGAGTTTGTGCAAAACACGCTTATAGAAGCGAGCTTAGCAGGCATGAAATTTTTTTCTGATAGAGCGTTCAACGGATATTGACGCAACAATCAGCCTACACACCAGAGCAGACATTAAGTGCGTTCCAATTAAGCGCCCTCAACTCAACTCAACTCAACTTAACTCAACTCAACTCAACTCAACTCAGGGGTGACTGTTTCTTTCAGTCAAGGAGGATTATCTCTGCAGCCGAGCCATTTTGTGCATATTGGTTCAAGGGTAACCGTGCTGAAAGTTACGTTGGCTGTAATTGTAGGTTCTTCGCCAGCGGGATAGTGGGTACACTTGATGTTTTTAGGATATTGCGTATAATAGAGGGAAAAAATACTGCAGTTTTCTTCAAGCAGGTTTCTCTTTGTCACAAGTAGTCGAACTGATCTCACATCGACATCTACTGGCATTCTTTGGTACCAAAGTAAGGTAGTTTTTCAAGAAACGGCTTTAGTCGGTTCATATAAACCAAATTAACATCGCATTTTTGCGTCCCGTCTAGAGGCAGTTCCTTCATGCTGCATGCTGCGAAATGCACTGTAATAGTGACTTCAACATTGGGGAGGTAATGTAGATTTGTGGGTGAGTAAAGTACCAAGCTTTATGTGGTTTTATGTTCAACCCGTTGTTTTCAAACTGGCGACCATAGGTCTTTGTGCTGCTGGCCATCACAAGCAAGCGGACGCTATGCTCAAGGGTGATTTTAAGGGATGATATTCCCAGTGTTCGTCACAAACACAGGATGCGTTTGTTTCTACTTTACTAGGGTTTATTAATCCCGAAACGATTTCTACTTGAGCACATCACAGATCCATTTTCACTACAATGCAAGTCACTCATTCATTAAGCTAAGCACAGAGAGGTGGCTTGTCTACGAACAATGCTAATGATTCCGGTCAGGTTGAAACGAATGTCTGGTGCAATTCTTGTTATTGCTGGATAGGTTTCTCGAAGAAAGCCTCCATAGTTTGCTCATGCAAGCGCTGGACGAAAACCGACAGGAAGGCTGATTGGAGCATTTATCTCTCCTAGAATTGGTCGGCCTCTTCTGCTCTGTTGATGCTATGATTTGATTCTTTTGGTTTGTCTCTTTCACATCCACGTAGGACCCGGAAGGGGTGGATATACTTGGAACCCGGTGACAATGTTCATCATATCTTTAACTGGTGGAACGACGTATCCATCAATTTTTATATAGAATATGTGGATTACGAAACTCGTGTTTCGCTCTGTCGCTCCGTCGTAGTAGTATTACTAGGCTTGTTGTTATTTTTATGGGTCGATAATTCGCAACCCGCCTTTTTATATCCCACATGGCGCATGTTTCGTACATATTCATACACCAATGGTCCTACAAGAAAACGGGATTGGCTTCGTTAATCTCTATGAAATGAACTATTCTAGAGTGCCATATGCTTCTAAATGACAGTTTATCGGTCAGTTTCAATCAGAATTGTCTCGAGCAAAAAGCCTTACTTTTGCCTATGTCTGCGTGTTCGAGTGAAATAGTGTCCATCGTTCATGGTTTGTGGTCAGAAGAAGAACATAGAACAGCCAACTTGCACCGCACCACTTATTGCAGACGATAACGAGTGTAACGGCGTTATCTGCACCGGAGAATCATGATCGATAACGGGGAGAGTAATTATAGAAGCCATCCTACATAATTGTGTGATGACATCCAGACAGTAATTAGCCCCCATTAGATCGGAGACGATTTACTACTGAAACTCTGACAGATAGTGCAAGACTAAATTGAGTGTCACCACTCACTGGTGTTCTGTAATGTTAATACAGATAATAAGTTAACCACAAAGTTTAGAGTGACTGAACAGAGCTCGAATACTTCAGATCAATCGTTTTTGACTTGTCAGACTTAAAGTAATTCTGTTCGACACTTGCTTCCTCGGAGCTTAGTGGTTGCGCTGCAGTTACGTAGGCAGTAGTTTGATGCGCTAATTGAATGTGTGCCATGAAACAAACACCATAACTTTGCGTGGTTCTTATGTAAATTTCATTCGCTTCTCATATGAAGTATATAAGTGTGTGTACAGACTTTGTCTGATGGTCAGGCCTGTGTGTTGGGATGAACTTTGGGGGCTACTATAACTGTTCCTTCATGTTCACCTCGTCAAAGCTGCCAATGGCGAGTAAAATGACAAACGGCAGTAAGCACTGCTGGTGACGGGGGAAGCATGCGAGTAGCACGTTTTCTCGTAAATCTGCATTGCGTCTCTTGAAAAGTGAGATCTATTACGGATTTTGTGGAGTCGCTTTGTAGCAACTGCTTGGATTTGAGCAACAGTCAATGAATATCCAAAAAAGTTCAGGAAGACGCGTTCAAATAGAGGATGGATATTCCGTTTTTGTAGATAAGATGCACGTGGGAGTTTTGTTTCCCTGTCCAATAGTCTGTAACTGTTTAGTTGGCATTTCCTAATAAATAACTCCGCAGCGAAGGCCTTCTTCCTCTCACTGGTATGAGTAGTAATTTGTGTGACTTTATTCGGTCACTTGCGACACCAATAAGGATTGGCGAAGGTGGGTAGCCCTGCTGTTAGCCAGCGTTTACACCAGACGCCTCAGTCTCTTCCCACATTCTTATATTCGGACTTTTGTGCCTGAGTGGTAGGCTCCAATCGGATTCGGCAGCTTGTATGGGACACCATCAGTGTTTCATACTAGACCAGGTGCATACCATTTTGACTAAGCCGACAACGGCTCAGAAGTCAATGAAACAATGAGTGACTGGTCCTAGAATGGCAGTATTGTCTCGAAAAGCAGTTTAGGGTTGATATATGGCAAATACACTCTTTTGCACGAAAATCTCTGACGCGGTTTTTGTGGTCCACCAGTTTCTCTAAGGTGGCACAATCTTAAAATGGTAAAGATTATGACTACGAAATCCATCTACCGGCAAATGTTACAAACCGTTCTGCCACCAATTGTAGTATCGTGTCAAGTATTAGGCAAGATGCTTTTGAAAGGGTTCTAAGACTCCGGTTATACAGGCCTGGCAGAATTCTGCTGGGATACCATCTTCTCTTAAAGACGCTTTGTTCTTCAGCAATTCAATTATCTTAGCAGTGGTTAAAAATATATTCTTAGCTGGATCGGTATTTCAGTATTTATTTGACGTGCTAGGTCCATCTTCCCAAGTTTTTTCCACAGTCAGTCGAAGAGTATTTTTATTACGTTGCCGCTGGCCTGAATCGTGGTGGATTAGCCCTCAGTACATCGTTCAAGCGTTCAGACATGAAAATAAAGATGAGTTCAACGTGTGCCGATGGAACAGTGGTAACGCGCTTGACTCACATGTCAGAAATTCACTGATGATAAGCTTTAATTAGGGTGAAGCTCGAGTCCAGTGCCTCCACTCCTTTAGTGTTAACTCACCAGAATAATTACGCCAGAGCAGAAGGACAACTGTCCAAACGAGGGTTCCGTTAACATAAACAATACGTATCTTGCATCCTCCACATGAAAATCGTTACTGAGTGTTGGGTGGCTCATTTGGAGATCCAGTCCTTGTGGCAGTGAGATGTAACTCCAAGATCTGATTCAGTGGTTTACTGTATGAACCCGTCTAGAAGGAACCAGACTCGCCAACAAAGATGGTTTGAACTTGGAAAGTGGCGGTTTTGGGTCAAACTGGCTGGTGGCTGCATCCAGGATAAGGGAATTTCGAGGTCGTTCATCTTGATCCACTTTGTAAATCTTGGTATATTTTAATGGTGAGTGAGGGTCAAACCCTACATCTGCGAGTATATGGTTCAAACGGAATTTATTCTCCGCTTGTACTCCACGATAGGGCCTACAGCGATGCCGACCATGCTGGTACCAAGATGTACTCTATTCGGGAAATAGTGAGACCGTCAGTACAATATCAAGAGGATAGATTCATCGTTGTACACTGGAAACGTGTGGTGAATACTTTTGGTCGGCTGAATGCGGTAAAGCTGACCAATCGATCGTCGGTTCTGATACGTTGTTCTGAGCCGAATGTTCCGCGGATGTGATGGATGGTCCGTGTTGGAGTACCATTTCTTGTATTTCGCACACACACAAACATCGGGTGTGTGCACTGTTGATCACTCTTGTCGTGGCCATCGTGACTGAAGTGGAGCCTGACGAAGAGGTAACAGCGTCGCCGGTTATGTCGGTTAAGTAAACTGGAGAGCCTTTGAAACTGACTGTCGCCACCCTGGACAATAATGGTACCCAAAATACGTTTGTTAAAAGCAACAGCTAGGCTGTGAAGGCCCGAAATATTAGTTCAGCTGCTAAAGGAGAACCAGTATGAGACTTCCATGAATGATATTTTGGTGCAATGTGAATCCGTGTCTCTAAAAAACATGCAATGTCAACGTCATGGTCAAGGTGGGTTCTTACGATGAGATGCTGACTTACAACGACAAGCACGCAGAATGTACATTCCAAGGGCCTATATGCCCCTGATTTTCAGGGATATGAGGAAGATCACTTTTGAACATCTGCCATCACAAAGGCTGAGGTGGCTCCGGAAGCGTCGTGGTATGAACGGAGCTACATAACACAAGGAAGGTGTGGACAACAAAATTTCTTAAGAAACCATTCTGAAACTGTTTCAAGCCCATCCGCCTATTCCGTCACATGGCATTTTTCAAGTTTGCTTCTCCAGGCTTTCCACATTGGTTACACAATTTGTACACCTGTTATTTATCAGGCGTCCATGGTTTCAAGGTTTCCTCACCACATCTCTTTATGACGGGGTAATGCCCGCCATGAAGTAGTTTCTTTTAAGGGCCCGTGGGGTGCTCTGTGAGAAACCCGATTGCCAACCGAGAGTCCACCACGCTCTGACGGTACATCAGACAGAGCCCCGTTAGCCCATATGTAACGAACGTTCCAACATCATCAGCAACAACACGGAACGATGAGGCGCAAACTAATTGTGTTGGCATTATTATGCACAAGCTTTCGGCGGCCCAACAACTGTTGACAGGGAAATTGACATGGATGTCAACCAGTGTCAGTCATAGTGTTCAGACTCTGTCTGCACAGTCAGCTTAGATGGAGGCAGTTCTTGTGTTCTTTTCTGTACTTGGTTGGAACAGTTCTCAAATATGGTGCCTCACCAATGTTACTAGCGTCAAGTCAGTGCCTGCGTGTGAACAAGCGAACAGCTCACAATGAGTGTAACAATTTACTACATGGTATCTCCGCTATCTGTTTTTTTCCGACTACGGGGATTTCAAAATAAAAACACAGCACTCATCTTGATAGATACCTTCCTGTCAGTAGAAATCATGTCAAGCAAATAATCTGTGTTGAATGACAGCATGGGTGGGCATTTTTCGCACCTTCATAGCGATTCGCGTGAATACCAAAATAACGAGTATAAACGTTCAGTTTTCAGTTTCTGATCCTGAGCATGGCATTTGTATGCTAGCATGAGAATGGATCGGTGGACTGTGGGAAGTTCAGCTAGCGTGAGGTGATGGAGTTTATCTGATGCAATGCCACTTCACTAAAAGCGTGTAAAATTATGACTGCAAAATAGTTTGTGAAGCAATCAGCAATGGTGCCATGTTAATTCACAACATTTTACTTTGCAGTGAGTAATTAAGCGTCACCATGAAGCATTTCGTAACAGCCCTAAATGATCATGGTCACTCTGCCTAACATTTTAGATATAATCGCTTTTACCATTAAAAGAGGATAAAGAATTTGATGCTATGCCACAACAAAACAATGAAAGAACAAATAAGTTTAAAGTGGAACGGATGCAGCCTTGATGTTGCCAGGTAGCATTTCAGGATTCCAGAAAATCTTACCTTTGAACTCAGTGTGCAATGAAACCAGATTAAAATGCGTGCTGTGATGTTTTGGTGTTTAACTGAGGTGCGTTTTAATGTGCCGTATTATTTTCTGCCTTTTGGAGCCAATCTTAGTTTATATTTCTTGAATTTTAGCCCGAACAGATTTCCATAGGGAAATTTAAACCGATCCGTGTAAGTATCCCATGTCTTTTGCAGGAAGCCCCCTATCTTGAGGCACTTAGAAGCAAAATATATTAGCGGAATATTTAGCAACCAGTCACAAATGCTTAACCTTTCTACCTTTTATAGACCCCTCGCCGGAAATTCAATTTTCTCCACTGGATCGTGTTCAAGCGTTTCACGACATTCTTTACTGCAACGCCACCCATGCACCAAGGGAACATACCCGAGCACGCATGCGAGTTCTGTGGGGAAACGGGACATTCGTCACAGATGATAATACAGCCACGTGGCCAAAATTGAGACCGCTAACGCAAAGTGTTCTTTTGGAATGTGAGGCAGAATTGCAATATATGAATATTACTTACTCCCGAAAGTCTGAGAGCTTTCTGGCCCATATTACCTGTAAGTAATTACATTTCCCTTGTAGTTTTAGGCGGTTACTCTAAAATATGGTCTTACAAATAACATACTTGGTCATGAAAAAAGTTAATTCACCATGAGCCTATGATCTGATTCATTCCAAAATTCCTTTGATGGTTAGACCACACAGAAATCTCTGGGCTTGTTGGTAGTGTGAGAAGATTTGGGATTTTTGTGGAGATTCCGTCCTGTAAGTGAAGCCAAGCTATGCCGAAAAGCCGAGAAGCACTGTACAGCTGTTTTATCTCTATTGGGAATCATCAGCAGTGCGCATCTCACGAAACTCCGAAGAGTCTCGAACCCACGACCTCCTGGCTAGTAGGTTGAACACTTAACAGCTCGGCCACGAGTGGCTGATCAGCAGTGTGATTAAATCGCACTTAGAGAGGATATAGCGCCGCTCATCGTTCAGTGTTCAAACTACAAGCCCGGAGGTCGCGGGTTTGAAACTCTTCGGAGTTTCGTGAGATGCGCACTGCTGATGATTCCCAATAGGGATGAAACAGCTGTACAGTGCTTCTCGGCTTTTCAGCATGGTCCGGCTTCACTTACAGGACGAAACCTCCACAAAAATCCCGGGGCTTTTTCTGTGGGTGATATGTCTGTATGATCCCTGAATTTTTCAGAATGGTTCAACCTTGAATGAGCTGTTTGACCCCCGGAAGGTGATTATTGTTATTCATGCATGTGAGGTACGCAAAGATAGGTGACGCTTGACCGACGACATCGTTGCAAGCGTCAAACTAGCTTTCACTTTCAAGCACCTCACACCTTAAGGAATTCAAATCGACTAATCACCTCTTAGCTGGCTTCTCGAATGATGAGTTCGAAGATGGAAAGTCCACTCTTTAGGTTATTTGACGTTCGTTCTGAGCCACTGAAAGTCTTTTCGTAGAATAATAAAATTTAGAGGCCTTTGATCTGAGCTTCTGTCCTGTCAGTGAAAACAACCTTTTTCGAAAAGCCAACGATCACGGTTTAGCCACTACGCCCTTATTGGGAACCATCACTGTTGCGCGTCTCACGAAATTTTGGGGCACGACATCTCTTTTGGCATTTGAAGACTCGGTCATTCGGTCACAGCGGATAAACAGCTGTGTGCCTAACTTGCATTTGGACAAGATATAGAGCCACTCCTTCAGTCGCGGGTCCGAGAAGACTTTACGCTCTTGTTACACGGCTTCATTTCCAAATAACGTTAAACCCAGTTCAAACTTACTGGAACTGAAACGACACGCCTACTAGCAGAACGCAAAAAATACCCAAAGATGGGTCTACCTGGAGACCTATACAAGCTCTATCTACGACAATTTACTGAGACATTTGGCTGAAATTTCGAATACAGTCCGTCAGGCTCTCGCACATTATTTACAGAATTGTTTTGAGCACGCGTACAGTTCTGGACGTATTGTCCGTGAGGTCACATGATATTTTTTCCATAGGTGTTCGCCCAACGTCACATTCATGCTACATTAAATTTAGAAGCATCCATCCCAAATCTGAAAGTCAGGCCTATAAAAAATAGATGACATGTCAATGGATAGCCAGCAAAATGTTTAGTGGCAGATACTTTTTATATGTTTTAAGGACAGCTTTTCGATCGTGCTTCCAACACGATACTCTACAAACGATATGGGAACTATATTTCTCTTTCTGCCAGCCGTATCTAGTTGGAGGACCTATACGTAAAACTCATTCCAAGGTTTTTCAGTGTACTAAGACAAAAGCTTGCAGCATGGATATTCTTATTAACAAATGTTCAGGTGGCAAGTTCAATGGTCACGTGTGCCGCAATCTCACAAATAGTGGACAATTATACACTTACGCTTATAAACGAATCCATGTGGCACCTCGTTTGATCGCGCTTGTCGTGTCCATATTCCTGAGTCTCTCCAAAGAAAAGAGCAGCTCTTAGAATAGACACTGATTTCCAACGACCATTCTGCTAACCGACAAATTTTACCTGCTGTATTTTGTCTTATTTACCCGGCCGCTACCTAATTCCGTTTTACACAAGCAGAAAAGTCAATCTCCGATGAGTACCGCGTATGATATTGAACCTCCTCGTTTTGAGCCTTGTGTATCTACCTATCAGCCTGCAGGTAAAATATACATTAGTATAGTAGATAGGATTTCATACCAGTGTGTCAGAAAATTGCCCCAATATTTGAGTAAGTTGACTAACAAATGAACCGACTTATTTGCACAAAAGAGATTGCTAAGCTATTCATTCTCATTTAACTTGAAACTGGAGGCCTTTGCGGGTTGCGGCTGGTAAGATAAAATCAATTTGTCGATATTGCGCACCCTTCAAGTGGATCGAAGTGACTCAGTATTAAAAAAACCGAATTTCGACTAAAAATTCACACATCTCTTCACACTATCAGCAAACAACAAGTAGCACAAAAGAAAAAATAAGTCATTTGGGAAGTCTTAGGAATGCCAGATTGGAAACCACGAACTACGAGACTAACTGAATATTTGGTGTTCATAGCGAATCCAAACCAAAAGGAAAGAAAGAAAATGGATTCCAAGCGAATACGAGTTACAGTGTAAATACCGTAATAACTTTCGATACGTTGAAGATTTTTGTTATTAGGGGACGGCCATTTTTTTGCAAATAGGATGCAGTTGTCCTCCTCCGGTTAGATTACACTCAGTGGAGATCAGTGTGTAGAAGAGAGTGGCTCCTTAAAGGTTATGTTAGTTTAAGGGGACCACAGCTATGGCGCAAGGTTACAGAGCGGGTTTCGAGATATAATCCTGCGGACGGGCTGGCACGACCGACAAAAACGATTACCTATTCCGCCTGTTTGCCTGCAAATGGCTTCATACTGGTTTCTGCACTTTATTTCTGCTTAGGTCTACGATGGGGTGTACGATACGTATTCGCGTCAAAGAAGACTTATTTATTTTTGGATGCGTCCCAAAATCTTGGTTTGTGCCTTGGGGATATACCTGTAATACCTCACGTTCTGTAGGACAAGCTGTAGATTTTTTTCTTCGAAAAATATTTCGGAATTCCCAGTCTTATATGTCGAGTACCACATAGACTGATGACATCCGCGGATTTGTACCATTGAGACTCCTTCACAGACGTTGCCAGACGAACCGCACAGAGGCGACTATCAACAGGTATCCAGTCAAATAAGGATACTTCCGCCCGGTGACTTAGCACAATACCCGTAAAATACCTTGTTTTGAAAAGAAGCAAATTAGAACGGTAAGTGACCCTTTGGTAGTTCTCCATACGAAAGAATAATCAAGCATACCGTACCTCTGACCACAGTTAGGCAAATCACGAAAGTCTGAATTAGCTAAATGAGACCATTTACTTCTAATAAGGCTTATCAATAGGATGCTGTTGGATTCCGGCCAACGTGCGACCTGGGTTTAAAAATATCGAAAACGAAGACACCGAAAATTCTTAAGCGAGTTCCCCGACGAAAGCACCAAACATAAGCTACCTAGCGGAGAGAACCAATTTTGCACAACAAAATTATTGGCTGTCAATTTGTCGAAATATGGGTAGGTTGGGCGCGTTTCATCATGATCATCAAAGACAGCAACATCAGTGTTGGTACTGATGCTTCACTGCCGTATGGTTGTACGAGGGCTGGGATACTGTCAGGGCGCCCACACCTAGACAGAAGGACGATTAGTGTCCTCAACCAAAGCCTTTGGCTCAAAAGCCTAACCGCAAGGTAGCGGTGTTTGGCGGGAAATGCAAATGCATTACCATTTCTACGGAACAAGTCGCCACATGTTCCAACCCCCAACCTGGAGGGCCAGGAGACTGTGTTCGTCAGACCTCTAACCATTGACCAACCTGGTATGAGAGACTCTGTGAGTGTCGCGGGACACTCTCCAGTATAGCTCAATGGATCGCTGAGGTACGCAAACCGTCACACCACGGTAAGGTCCAGTCTCTTCGTGACGGTTAGGCCTAGTTACTTCAGATTGAAGAACTTTTAGAAAACACATCAATGGAGAGAAAAGTTGGTTCCTGCGTTATCTAGACTGTCCAAACGCGTATTAGTAACGTTTTTTTACATCAAACGAACGTCAAGAGGTAGTTGTCAAACAGATTCACTTCAGTTTTCCAATTCAAGTAACTGACGTCTTGATGAACAAAAGCGATGGAAGTGAGCATTGATATCGCGTTGTTGTTCAGTTAACCTCCGTGGCGAAGTGCTTGCACTTTTATTGTTTCAGCTTACGCGAACATTTCCTTCGAACCAGAACGAAGTGTGTTTTGGGCCACAGACACATTGCGATGCACAGTGAACAACGATGACCCTCGAATTCATCCCTACATCATACTGGCGGAATACCCTACTGAATTCCATCCACGTTTGTTCTACGAAACAATTGATTTCGCCGAATTTATCCCCGGTGATTACGTAATCAAATGCTATTACTTTGGCCCCAATACTGAAAAAAGAGTGCTAACAAAAAATATTTATGTTGCATGTGAGTTGTCTGTAGCCAGACGTTCATAGAAGTCATGAAACGCCTAAGTCACTAGGCAGACTATTTTAGATTACGACAGAAGACATTTTCTACTGCTGACTCCTTCGAAAGGCTTTGCATCGTGTAGCGAAAAGCAGTTTGCTATAAGGGAAAAAATAAGAAATATTCTGGGCTTATCTAGCTTACTGTAAAAAAACGACGGCAAGGCACTGGCGAGAAGAAGAGTAAAAATCACGTCCAGTCTAACTTATCCGTATCTAGAAGGTGGAATTTAATGATTTATCATCAAGCCGTGATAGATGGAGAGTTACGCACCTAGATTGCTTACCAAAAATAGCCACTTACGAGGGTTAAAGAGAATAACATCTGCCTGCTTATCTATGCCATGCCATTCTTGTGTGACAAACGGCTTGACTGGAGCAGTCTGTTAGCTGACCGAATAACCGAGAAAAGCAAAGAAACACTGGGTCATTCCAAGCGGAAGTCCAAAAGCTGAAAAAGTTTGTCAAGCTTGTATGGATAGGGAATCCTGGAGAACACGGTTTAAAACTTATTCAATTCTTCAGGCATTATCGAAAACACAGTATGAAGTTGGCTCGGCTGAAGTTTTCACCACCAAATAATTCAGAGATATTTGATTTTTATGTTGGATGCGTCAAACAATTAGTAAATGAACAGAGGAAGGTATCTTGCATAATGAAAAAGCCTTCTTTAAAATATCGTCGATTTTTGTGTGCCTAACTTAGATAGCCTAGGTCTTTTTGGATGTGCCCCTTAGAACAGGGGCCTTACAAAAATAAGCATCAAGCTTTGATAAAGGAACAAGTGACAAGTGCGAGAATTATGTTCACGCCAGAAACTCCACGACCGGAATGACTGCATCATTCAATGTCAAGTTCATTTTCCCCAAGGGTTTTTCAAATTGGTCCAGTCACATCATAACAATTGAGTGGTTTTATCGATCTTCACTTCCAGAATCGCCGTATTTCTATATTTGAGAAAACTAACTTGCTCAGGATCTATGCTTGTCGATAGTTTGTTATAATAGGTCATCAGGAATTACTGCCGTTTAAAATGATTTTGCTGAACAGCTGGATTGCACGAAGCAGCCATCCTAAATTTGCCTTTGTAACTGCACCAACGAATGCCTACCACTAAGAAAAATACACAAAGGTTAAAGTTCTTGAGGTGACATTAATTTGAAAGTGACACTAAGTTGAATGCACGGGCTACCTCTTAATCGATTTATGTAGCAGCTGTTGAACCTCATTGTCATCCCACTACCCACGTTTCCCAAAATACCACGAGACAACTTCATTTATTGTTGAGAAGGAGGACACGGTTTCGCTTTGTTACCTTGTGCACATTTTGCAAGAGACAGCTTTGAAATGTCTTCATTATTTGTATATCAATCGAATTCACTTGAAAGTTAAATTCCTCCCCATAAGTGAGCGTCATGTGCACTGCAACATGCGGCTTAATCTCAAAGTTTTCCATTGCCAACAGCTTCCTCAGTAAGAAGGAATAAAGTAACGTAGGTCTGAGATGGGATAATTTCAAATAGATAAGTTTACTTAAATTTTAGTAACCCCGTGATGTGGGGACAAACCTTCAATTAGGTTAGCCTATATTTTTTCCCGTTTTCTGTTTATCCGTTTAGTACCCCCAACTAGTATTGAGGCCGAGCAGTATGTCAATTTATTGGGCCGGCCGTCGATGCGCTGCGTCGACAACGGATATCCTCAGTCACATGTGAGTGTTCAGTGGACCGGGCCAGATTTGACCGCCTGTTGCGATGTCGTGGATCATCAGTTAGTCCTTTCCCAAGTGGCCACACATGGTGTATACAGGGTAAAATGTGACGCGGTCGTGACACACTCCCTACTAACGCTCCAGCTTTCTACAGACGCCAGCTTTGTGGTACTCGGTAAGTGGTTTGCGTAAATTATTTATATAACATCAGAAATAAGCCGTGTTATCTGAATTGAATGTACCAATAAACAAACCAGAGACCATGAGGTAGACACTCGTCTGTTATACATGTGATACATGATCTTCAAACACAGTACGTGAGACGAAGCAGCAAACACGTGAAAACTGCCGTGCAAAAATCTGCCACTGATGAAGTTCAATATTTCAGTTTTGCGGAGGCCACATCATTGCTACTTACACGGAGAGTTCGGAACAAGGCATTTCTGATCTGCAAGTGATCATGGTTGTGACACAATAAGTGATGTTTTCGACGCTGGATCTGGCAGGCAAATAACCAAAAAAGGCCTTTGCGACTTGAGTGAGCGAGATAATGGAGATATGTTGCTTGCAGGCCCTCCGACGTCAGAGCACCAAATAACTTGATACTGCTGGGTCGGTTCCTGCTTATTGATATTGTATCATGATAGAAGCATTTGGGGGGATCTTGATTGGAATGGCTCGGACGGGCCCTAGAGGCTCTGTCACACAAGACCGACCTGTCCCTCGAAGAAAATACTACAATTCACAGCCCAGGTAATCCCATGAACAAAGGCTAATTCTGTAGATAAAGCTTAAACACTAACACAATTCTCTCCACTTGACTTCGTAAATACAAGTTTTAGCCTGCAGCTAAGATTAACCCGTTATTGGTTGAACGGACAAAATGGTACATAAACAAACTATCATTTGCACACACGGTAAAGGTCCCTTGCCGATCATAGAGACAAAACTGGAAGTCTATTTTTGGCCCGAAGTCCACGTTGGTATACGATCAAATGAAACGACTGATGGTTTATTGCATTACTTCTTAGCTTGGCTGAATACGGTAACATGACACTGTTGTGCTCCCAAGTGAACATAGAGGCTGGCTTGCAATTATCATGGATTTATTGAGATGGTCACGCTACGCACCATTTAGTTTGGATCTAATCCAGCTGACTATAAAGGCTTCGATTAGGCCTTCGTCTGGTTCACATGATTTGCGGCAACAAATTACATCCATTCAACTTCGTCGTGCAGGCAGCATTAAAGGGAATCGTATGACCTGCATTAACTGACCTATCCGAGGCGGTGGTCAGTGACTAGTTCAAACATACCTGAAGTATTTGTTTTTGATGCCTTCAGAAATCCAGACATTCATGGCATATTTTCTGACACTTATTCAGAGTAATCCGTAGGTGATTCATTTTAGTGTACGGAAGAACTAATTTACCGTGAAATCTGGGAAGCGATAAAGTGGTCGAAAATTACACTGTGATGATCTGAACAGTTCACTTAATAACGAAGAACGACGAAGAAGACTAGATGCGCCACTATAGGTTTGGTCACATCCATGGACATTTTGCTCTAATAGGGAGTATTAAAAAAGCTTCATAATAAGAATTTGATACGGAATGTTCATCCAGTTTCCCTAACACGAGGGTTGTGCTTTTTGTTCCTTTTTAGTGAACTAAAGTCAACGTTTATGTGACAAAAGATGTACTGACAGGTCTTAGTTACATCTCATGCTTGCAAATAATTGCAGATATTTTAAACATGTTAAAATACACCTTCAATGGTGGTGGCTCTTGGTGTAGGAGATAGTATACAGGATGACACATTGTAACCACTGACGTACAATGACCGTGTCCATGTGGCGAAAATTAAGGTGTGTTTCGTTCTACAAGGGAATGCATCGGTCACGTTTTCACGCTCCTACAGGTTCTGAGAGAGTGACACTAATCTCAGTAACCAACACTGATTGTCCTTCTAGAACGGAAAACTGCCTTTCATTCTGTGGAATGTCAGGTACTATGACAGTGTGTGTGAAGGAGATGTCTCTTCAAGTTCCTCACTTTACTTAGGGCATTGCACCCTAAGTCTCACGGATGCGTGAAAATCTGTGGAAAGCTCTAGCTTGAGTTCACTAAATCAAATGATGTCGGGCAAGGCTTTCCCGTTCATGCTTCTTTTCTCAATTCCGTCAATGGTATGATTAGTGAAGACTTCCCCCCAGTCTCAAATACCCGTGGGTTTTTGCTCGAAGATATCGAGTAGTTAGACGACATAGGTTTTCCTGAATCAGACGCAATTGTAAAGCAGGGTGAATAATTTTAATAACACTGCATCATGGTTTGGCATATGCTGCACACCCATAAAGTGTAAAGTGCCACTGCAAAAAGACTGGGTCTGAACCCTAATCTCATGCTAACTGGACAGCTGTATCAATCTATGGTATTTCCATTCGGATTAGAGAGCTGAGTTTGTCCGTGGCGTTGTGAGGTGCATAGTAATCTCCAATTTGACCTTCTGAATCAGAAGTCTGGGGCACAAAGCAGTGGGATTATGTAGGGTTTAGTTCGGAGACCATACCGGGGCCGTCGGCTCAACTGTCTGACCTGCTCTGTTGCAGAGTGTTTGCCTTCGCCGCCGATTTCGTCCCATCATTTGATTCACCCTTCGTGTCGCCTGCTGTTACTATGTAGATAATGGGTTTGGGTTCATGCTTGTTTGCCCTGATCAACTGGACAATGAGCGGTGCTTACTGATCGGTAAGTTCTAGCCTTAAGTGCGTCCGTTGAACATACGAATATCCAAACTCTGAAGAATAAGGAGATACAAAAAGTGCGAACGGATAGCACCTGACGTTGTGCGCACTCGGCCATCCTAAGTCCTTACGGAGACATCTTGGTATGGTCGCGAATCACTTTACAGTTGCACCTAGCTACCTTTTACTTCTATAGGGACATTTTATATTCAACACAAACACGGGTTCGTTAGGTGGAGGCACTATACTTTGAAAAATATAGCGCCTTGCTTACGTCGCTGTTCACATGTATAAGACGAACTAAATGCTCGGTATAGAATACTTTCAGTGTAATGATCTTCTTTGTCATCATGTTTCACTTGCCTATCCAGGAATGAACTTCCGCCCACAAGAAATTCTCACAAAATATATGGACAATACAGTAAACAAGATCATCATCATTCTTTTTTCGGCCGTCGGCTATGGACTGCTGGTGTTGTCCATATCAGCTACTTGGTTCCTTGCTATGAAGTTGAACAAAATACGTTCCAAAAAACGCAGGGAACAGAAGGTAAAGTCAATCCCATTACAATGATACAAAAGGTATTGTCGACTGTGGCCTCCATTAGGGTGGCAGTTTAGTGATGATTGGCGAATGTAGTTTGTTCATAGCATGTTTTAAGTGAATTATTATGTGCAGCCTACTTGCATTATACCTAGCTGATTGTTTTTTCTTGCATTCAGACAAAGCACACGAATTTCGCCATAACATATGCACATTTCACTGGAAAGACCATAGTTGATGTTTTAGAAGTTCACCGGTTTAACCAGGTGACGTCGATTAGGAACACCCTACCATCTACTTTTGTCGCGATATATTTTATGGGCAGAAGCTTTAAGGAATTTTGTAAGAAATTAGTGCGTATATCCAAACCACGGCAAATGAATAGAAGCTTCACCGGTATCAGAAGAAGCTGGGTGAACTTGAGAGGTATATCTGTTTTGCCGTGGGTAGTGGATATCTGTTGCTGTCATCCGATGGACCGCAGTCCCTCACACTTGTGTTTCGTCATTTAATTTTCTGGTTTGGTATGTCAATCGTCACCTTGCGTGCACTGGCAATCAATATTTACAATTCACGCGTTATATGGATTTGTATTTTGATTAACAATATTCCGGAGCATTTAACTTTACCGTATTTTACGTGTTTGATGTACTCCTCTATAACCTGTCCACGTTAACGGTTTCGATTCTCCGGATCGATGTGCATACAGTTGTATTGAAAGTGACCCTGTGCGGAATAAAATGAATGGTGGTTGGTATCGACTCGCCATATGTGCGTACATTGAAAGCGTCTTGGGGGTTCTGTAAGTTTTCAGGCTATATTCTATTCACCCTGAGTGTTTCAGCTGCACAGTTTTCTTCGCATTATTCCGCCAACATTAAAGCATACTGATGAATCTGAAATTTATTTTCATCCTCTATCCTGGGTAATAAGTCAGGGGACAGGAAGCACAAGCAGTTGCCTGCCAATCGCATATGCCATCATCTGCTATGAGATGTGGTCTATCACGTACCGTAGCCTGACAGACAACCGAAAACCAGTACCAGCTCACTATTCCCGTTGTCTCGAAAATATGAAGCTTCTTATTCAAAGCAAACTCAATCAGAAGTGGCTTGACTGCGGAAGGGCATCACTAGGGGTACTTCAAATAAGATAAATAGGAGTTTTATGTACAACAGGCATATTGTCATTTTGAGGGTTAGGACGGTATCGCGCGGAATTCGGTGAACAATTAGAAGTAGTATGAAGTGGAATACCACTCCAATGTACAGTCTGAAAGGGAGGATCAAAAAGTACTCTGAGTGCAACTTCTAATGAGCCCTATTTCTGTGCTTGAAACGAGCCGGTTCTGTAGACAACGGCGGGGAATATAAACAGTGTTAGAAGTTGGAATGCACTTGAAACAGTTCTTGGCTAGGCTACTCCCTTCCAAGTCGAACACAGCGTATTCTACTGTTAATGGAGATGGGTAAAGCTGTGGAGTATCACTGTTCTTCGCTGGTGTTACCATCAGTGATGCTTGTGAAGGCATGTTTCGAAAACCTAAGTATTAGCTGACAGTGCTACTAGATTGGGACCATGCAGAGATTGAGGGACTGACGACGTTCCAGATTAGACAATGAACAGATGGAAGAGTGCTGTACGTGGAACAGACAAAATAACTAACAGGTGACTAAACAGGGTTCATTAAAACACTACAATCACAATATCAAGAAACTAGGTGTTCAACAATACTGAGCAGTATAATTTTAGTGCGGCTGAAAAAACTGGATCATATTTTGGGATTTCGAAACACTTGGGGAAGGGCATTTACCTGACCAGCTAAAGCATTTACGGTTGTCCCCGGACTACGCTTCTCAACTCTTTCTCGTATGGTTGGGAGTGAAGCAGAGTTTGATACGCATTTTCTTACCCTCGGTGGCGGAACGGCTAGGTGATTTAACAACGTATGAACCACCACTAAAAAACTGTTCACTTGTAACAGGTGCCTATGTCACATGCCACCCGAGGGAAGCACAAGGGCTAAGATACTGCCAGGTTGCCCAAGCCTAGACAGGAGAAGTCGAGAGGTAGAGGTCGAGTTCGAACCGCGGACCTTTCGGTCAGTAAATCTGTGCTCCAACCACTGGAGCCATCTTGCCCCCACTAGTCATCGACACTAAGCTGTTGTGCAGCTGGCATGCTGACAAATAACCGCTGATTCCCTCACATAACTTGCGGATTATACAACGCGCCTCAGTCGTACATGTTCTCATTTCGTATACACATTATCACTTTAACGCACAGCTTTATTCTTTGAGGATAAGTTTCATTTCCATATTTTGTTGGTTTCAGCTCATTATGGTGGAACTATAACCACTCAGATCGACTAATGCTGCATACATTACTAGGTATCGGCCTGCCTCAAGATTTTTTTGTGTTTCTCCATTAACAGGTAGCCTAATCCTCCGAATGCTATCCCGAGTTCAAGGTGAACTTTCTGGAAAAACAAACAGAGTCCATAAAGTTCACTAGTTAATGGTCCTATGAAGTAGAATACGGAAAGATAGACTTTTCGAGGTAAAAGTCTGAAACAAAGGGCCGGAATTAATTTTGAAAGCAAGATTGCTCTACAGGATTGAAAATTTTATTTGCTAAAACATTCACTAAACTTGTTGTTTAGCAAACTTTGCATGTTCACTGATAACTTTTGTCATTTGTTCATAGAACGCCTAAGAAATGTTCAGAAATACCAAGAATCTGCATCACATGTTAGATTGGCCTCAAGTACAGTAAGGTCTATTTCATAGCAGGGTCGGTTCGAGAATGCTGCCCCACAGAAGATTGCGCGTGCATATTCCTCTTTTGAAAGTGAGTTTTACCCAAGCATTACGCCAGGGAGACATGAGAGCATCCGAGAAATCCAGTTCTCTTTGTAGACTTGGTGAAGGCGCCAGCCTACTGACCGGAATATCCGTGGCTCGAACTCCATTTCAGCATCTCAATTTCTCCCGTATAGACCTGAACAACCTGGCAGTAGCCAAGCCCTCATGACTTTATCGATTGGCGTTACACGTAGGCAGCAAAACATGCCACATTTAAACGGCATATTTCTCAGGAGGATGACACTGATTTGGAGTCTTGAACTGGACATATTTAAGACTAGAGGAGAAAGCTGATTAGAGGTCCCCACTAGGCTCGAGACAATCCACTTATTCTTCAACTGAATGTTCCGTAATACAGGTTGTGGGAGAAACGTATCAATTCAGTTCAAATTATCAGCTATAAACCGTGTGCCATAGGCGCATTCGTTCCGGCTACTACAGTTTCGATCACCGGAAAACGGGATAGTGGAATACAAAACCAAGGCTTGAAGGTGAAGACATGATCAGTTTGTTCAGAAATTGGGTAGCTACGCATTGAAGGCGATAGCTTTGATGCACGAGCGCCGCTGACTGCGCGATTGAGCCGTTTCCGTTAATGTCAATAGCCACTGGTGATTTTGTTACGGTTCGGTCACGCAGCGAGCAAACAATATGATAATGCGGATTGTGGCAATACTCTATCCCCAGCTATGTTGCTTGATACAGACTCCTAGCACGGCGAATAGTAAGAAGACGAGAACCTCGGACACAAACTTTAATAATCCAACAACACACGATCAACAGGCGATGCCCGGAGCTTCCGAACCCAAGTCAGTGGAAAGAATGGTATCCTGTACGTGGTCGGATTTAAATTTTCTTGGAGTATCAATAGGCCATTGATTTTTCATAGTTTGACCTTGAAGATGCCAGGAGTTCGCTAGCACACATAAAAACAGCGTTTTCTGGGGGATATTGATATCCCCAACAGATTTCACTCCCGGCATACCCATCCAGGAATAAATGTATGGGTTATTATATAATGCAGGAGTGGCGTAGAAGGGATTGACTATTATGAGACTATGACAATAGTTGTTTCGTGGATTATAGAACAGTTTACGTAATCATACGAATCCGGCTTGGGAGTTTGACTGACTAATTCAACACTCAAAATAGCCTTGCTTTTCTGTATTTTCAAAGATATAGATAGGGTTGTCTTATTCCAAAATAAAAAAAAGGCTAAGAATTTCCAATAGTTCATTAAAATTATAAGTGATGCTCTGAAATATATAAATTTATTATATACCCTCCTCAATTCCCGAACATTAGTTTGCTAAGGGTTGAAGACAGTGCGTCCCTTCAATCAGCCTGAGCAAATTTCGGATACCGACCTTACATTTATTCGCGTCAGACGGAAACCCAAAACAGGCGTTTGCTGTAAAGTGATGTACGTAGAATATATAGTTCACAAATATTTTTTTGTCCGCACATGACATTTGCGGTGCAGTAAGGTCCAAGAGCTACAGGGTCTGCTTGAACTGTTCGTGTGCGCATAAGCTGTGTGAATATACCAAAATGATGAAAAAAATATTGAAACGACTACGTTTATTCACTTTATGCCCGCGGAAGCATTTGAACCATAATTTCGGCCTACTCCGTAGGTGACCAATTTCATCAAACCACAAGCTCTATGCACAGATATTTTGCTGTCTTTGAATTATTACTTCTGCGCACCTGTTTCTATATAAAGATAAACTTCGAGATTATACTCAGAAGTTCAGTGGGTCGGTATAAATCTTTGACTAAATTTCTGCCTAAAATTGGGTATTTTTATTTCAAGGCGTCAGCACGCATTCTAACTCTAAGGTAAGCAATTTAAGTTCCACCTCAGTCGGTTGAATGCCTTTTATTGAATGCAGCATTTTCATTGTTGTATCATTCAGTTCCAAACTGAACCCTGAGAAACGTGCTGTGAAGGCCTCCCAAGCAACGTAAGCAATTTTTGCTGACCGGCATTGCGTTATTAACCGAATATATCCCATCGATTGACCGATGGACTGTTTATATAATAGCCAGTGGTTCGTCATTGAGACTGGGCTTAAGAAAGCCGCTGCGTGGAATGTGTTTGAAAGGATGGTACTTTTACGTACGCACGGCATACGCTTGGATACCAATAAGGGACGCAAAGTCAGCGGAGGTTTGTGTGCTTAGTTATCTGCAGCTGCTGGGAAGGAAAACGGTACGATACAACTATATCGGTTGTTGTGCTTGAGTTTACGAGAATCAACAGTCCACGGGATACCCGAGAAGAGCGTCATATTAAAAATGTGCCACTTGATTACACACACCGTTAAACGCATTCGAAGTTTTGATCGATTACAGCATTTTACGCATTTTATTGTGATGCAATTTTGGCTTCACGACTGCTAGTAGGCAGATAGATTGGAATCATTGGACGGTGATTTTGCACCTGGTACTTGTGGAATTCGCTATTCTGTTCACTTTTAGTACAGTGAATATTCTGGTGCAAAAGTGTCCCACATGCTGACGTCAGTGGACTGATTTTCCCAAGTTAGGCAAAATTTTTGGTTTGAATGTACGAATACACGTTTCTTCACAAATCAGTGGATCCATTGACTCCAATGTGTGGTATTCGGATTTTTGGAGCTTAAATTTTATTAGTCTGATTTCCGTTTGTCTACAGCCACAACTGGTACCTTTGGAGTCACCCAAACTGTTTATCACCGTTATGTGCATGTTGCTTTAATCCTTCGCTGTAATCTTCCGATGTTCAACATATCAAAAGCTGTTTGCATTCCTATGACATCTGGCCACCATTGGACAAGTTTATAAGAGAAACCAACTGAGAACTGTCGAGGGGTCTTCATATGTTTCAAGGTCTTGTGTCTGCTAACATCATTAAGTTTACTTCCGCCTGTTCGAAATTATTTTAGAATTTGGCCACAGGTCAGAAAGTTTTGAAACTTGTTGACGTTCCGCTTACTGGCTGTTATATCATGGAACGTGTGATAAAGTAAGAATGCCCAAATGTATTATGGCATTCCCATTGGAAGCTCAAAGCTTGGTTTTAACAGAATACCTGAAGGAATAATAGTGCCGTCGATTGATATGATTTTGATGTTTATTTCCTTAGCATTTCCGACTGTAAACCGGATTCCATTCGGCAAAGGTACTCATACAATCTATTTTAGTCTATCGCGTGCTTTCACACCGAGTTGATTTTGGCCGATATATTTCTGTGTCAGAGAGCCATTCTCATTATAATGGAACTAATAAGATAGGTCCAGTTTGCTCACATTGTCCTCAGAGTTCGAGTGTAAATTGCTTGTTTTACGCTTCCGGTGGACGAAGGTGAGTGCTCTTTCTGTATCCCGAGAATCATGCCCCATACAGAAAACGTTAGAACTGTTGTCTCTGAAGGCTTTTTAAAGATCATATATGAAATGAGTAAATGCATCTCAATAGCTGTACTTAATGAGTGCTGGAATTTTCACATTCAGTAGTTATTGGACGAAAAATAGAGGGTGGGAGGGTATCTTATTTACATTCGGATGTCAATCATCCCTGAGGGCTTTGCATCAAATTCAAAAATTTGATTTTGTCCTCTTTCTTAGTGATAAACGTCTGCTTGCTTCAGAGCAAGTGATTGGCATTAAAAATTTGTTTTTGTCGGAGAAGTTGGAGGGAGTTTCAAAAACAGTGAATCCGTTAGCTGGGGTTTCCGGGGAAGAGAGATTGTCTTACTGAACGAAAACACAGCACAGACTGTGGTAAAAACCATCATCCGTATGGTAACTGAAAAGTGCATGTCATTTGTTCATCTGTTCGTTTGGCCGTGACGACACATTATTTTTCTCATTTATGCCTACGCTACTAAAATTCCATAAGTAGGACCTGAGCATACGTTCACTAAACATTTTAAACCAATAGTCCAGACGGAAGCGGCTAAGGATTCTTATTTCAGGAAAGTCTACCTCAGGGAAAATTGTTCCGGTGGATAGTAATGAATGAACTTCAAATTTTGATTTCACTACACTGTCGCACTGAAGCTTGTGCATTAATATTACGGTTCTCCTTTACCACCCTGCAGTAGAATAAATACCTTCCACAAATAGCCACTATCGTCCTTCAAGAGATCCCTCACACAAACAAAAGGTAGGAGCACACTATTTTTGACTAACTGATACCTCAGTATAGACTTGTGGGCCATCTCGCTGCAAACATTCTAACGCAGTTTTGAGCTGTCTGTTCAGTTAAGAACAAATCTAGTATCCGGACAGTTTGGGGTTTGTTCAATTTACATAAAAATGATAGTTGGTGGGCGATGGTATGGCCTCATCAGGCGACCTTTTAGCCTGGTTCCTCTGCCAGTGTAAACTTCCAAGCAAGACTTACAAGAAATTGCTTCTGGTTGAATAGTTCACTCAAGGAGCGATGAGTGTGTAGGTGTTCAGATTTGAACAGATTAGTTTTCACAAGAGCTCTATTCTGTTCTATCCTGTCAAACCACCTAGTCAGATCAACTTGGTTTCTCCTTAAACAGCAAAGACCCGAACTGTTTCTTTGAACAGATTGAATGTGCCACGCGGCTGACATTTGGTTATTAATGCGCTTCTTAGATTTTCTTAACTTTTTGCTAGTCCGTGTGTTATTGGGTTTCCACACCACATTGGGCCACATAAACGACATTTTCTCTGATTTCAATTTCGACCCACTGCAGTGTGGCCGGGAATTCTGTTGTGACTTTATCAGGGCGACAAAATTTATTCGGACCTGTCTTCATAAGCATCCATTGCTGATGTGGCCGAGAATCATGATTTAGAAGAATCAAACAACATAGGGGCAAACATTTAATCGTACTGCGGTTATTTAGCGCTTTAATGCGGGGAAACCCAAATCACGAATTTGACACCTTGGTCTTTATTTGGAAGGTTACTGACCTTCGTGGCCTTTCTTGAGTGCTGGAATGCAGAACTAGAAATCCAGTTTCAACATTGAGTCATCAATGAAGATGCATACTGAAGTGTTATGGTGGTATCCCGTCATAAATACATTGAGGGGGCCAATTGTTTTTGTGCATTACGCAAGCACACCGACCTCGCTCTCCCACAGTAAAGCAAGGACGAGATGTTGCTGGGTTTCAAAAGTGGACTCTGTGATCCCCCAACGATTAAACATGCTCATTGTCGCTTTACCTATTATAATCACAGTATATCATCCAGGATTCAGCTGCCACTCAAGACGAACTTGCGCGAGGCAGCATTCAGAGTCAGTTATTCCCCAAAATATCGGGTTTGCCCCCGGTCCTCTTGAGGCTAGAACGTTAGGATGCAGCACCCTTAAATGAGCCCCTGTTTGAGCCACGGAAGTATAAAAATTCTCACATTCCTGTCATAACAAGGTGTGGTGAAAATAAGCAAAGACGCTTCTCCCAAAAATTAAGAGAGTAAACATAACGCCTGTCCTGGATAACGATGAGAGAAACGGAAATATTCCACCCCTGGAAAGGAATTTAGACGCCATGGAATTCAGTTCACTCAACGCATCTAGGCCAAGTTAACAAGGGGAGCAGCGAGAAGCTGACTATCGTTATATCTTCAGGCGGATTATTAACCAAAAAGATACCCATGCTAATCCCGGTCTTCACTTTGCGGTTACAACTAACGCAAGCTAAAGGAACTTGACCTTTACCGAGATTATCATGCGCAAAAAAATATGTGGCTTGTTTGCAACGCATCTAAGATCCGTTAGTTAATCTGCCCGTGATAAAGGCGAATTAGAACGTGTTCTTTCATCTAATATCACCAGAATAACTGTTAGTAGAAGCCGTAATTCAATGTTCCCCGTTCTTGACGTTCAGTAATCCGCCATGGTGTTTGTCATCGTTTCGTCCTTGACTAGCCAAACGCTTGTATTCGCCGCCTGGTGTCATGAAATGTTCTCGATGAGGGATATCTCTAAACAAATTAACAGTAATTGCACGGCTTTGACAGAATCCACATCAATCGCTTTCGGACTCATTTCTTAGGATATATAAAATATTCAGGATTGTTGGTTTATGGCTACGTTACCGATAATTACAATGTGTTTTGAGTGTTTTTATGAGAGAAAGTCGCCCTTTACTGTCAAAACATTGAGCTGCCTTACTTCATAGTTTCTTATATTGTTACCATAATAAGCTTCTTGAGACACTCAGCTTCCGTTAATAATTTGTTTCCATTTTGAAATTCTACAACAGCTTCCACCTGGTGAATACGTCAGAGTTCCGCAAAATATTTTGTCAAAAGAGGAGCAAGTTATTTTGATTGAACTCCTGTCAAAATTCGATATGGTGGCACAGCTCGTGGCATCGCTTGTAAAGGAATCACGAAGTAACAAGAGGACATTCATTCTAAGGGGATTCGATTGGCGGGAACGACGTGGTCCCAGGTTTCCGGATTTTAAGGATAAAGAACGGATTCCAGACAATACATATTCCTGGAAGACCGCTTTGTTCTCATTTCGCCCTACCTGTTTAAAGGAACTGCACAGAATACATAACCATAAATGGTCTGGGAGTGTTGGAACGACCTCGGTGGAACGCTTCACGATTGATGACCACTCCGATGAATTTGCAACTGATAGAGCACCACAAAAAAGAAAAAGAAGAGGCAAAAGTTCGTTCTTACGACGATCACCCGGAACTAAAACTCTACCCTTTAAAAGGCGTAGACGCGTTTTACGATCCAAAAAAAAGTAACAAAGAAACCCATCCGCAGATTTTAACTCACTGTGGGACGAAATGGTGAAAAATGAATGATTCGATTCCTGCAGTTGGTTTTGGTCCATCAGCCAAATACTTATTCGTTTGCGATGAGATACATTTATTTGGTTTCACAAAAACTCAGAATTCATAGCTTCATATGGCATGAGACTGAGCAAGCAGTCATCTAAAGAGAAAACATAATAGGATAACTTGAAACTATAAAAATACCGCGAAAGAAACCAGATGACTAACAGCTAATAGTGCATATTAGGAAAGCCGTACACTATCAGTTGAGCCAGACGTCCGTGGAACGAAGGAATTAATGCTGAAGACATAAGTTGCTTGGTGTTTAGAGATAACCAGCGATCATTCTGTTTGTTTCAAATGATTCTTTAACTGGATAGGACACTTCCTTGCTGTTTGACACGACGATGAAGTGGACTCGTACACTGGACCAATAAGTGGCTATAAGTTGCTGGCACCTGGTACGTTGTTCTTTATATAACCGATCAATATATATGTATATATATATAACCGATAAAAATGCCGATCATCTGTCAGTTTTGACTAAAGCTACATTGCGCACAGCATGTAAAATGTAAATAACGGTTCACATTCCAGGCATCGGAACACAAGATTCACTAGATGTTTTCGTGCAGCGGAGATTTCAGACGCTCTTATGATTGCATGCTGAATGACAGCAGAATAGTTCAGGTGATTTGTTGACACGGGAATCTACTAAGAAAACTGTTTCTTATATTGGTGCCGTAATGTATGAATAAAAGCTTGCGAAACGTAGCGCATATTTATATATATACCGATAAAAATGCCGATCATCTGTCAGTTTTGACTAAAGCTACATTGCGCACAGCATGTAAAATGTAAATAACGGTTCACATTCCAGGCATCGGAACACAAGATTCACTAGATGTTTTCGTGCAGCGGAGATTTCAGACGCTCTTATGATTGCATGCTGAATGACAGCAGAATAGTTCAGGTGATTTGTTGACACGGGAATCTACTAAGAAAACTGTTTCTTATATTGGTGCCGTAATGTATGAATAAAAGCTTGCGAAACGTAGCGCATATTATTTCTACCTCGCAGGTCCCTTATCCCGCTCCGGAGTTAAATTGGTGAACAACACATACTTTTAAAATAAGCAAGAATGATATAAAATGGACTGTTAATAGCTGTTCTGGAGATGGTTCACTAGTGTGATTGGTATATTTAAACCCTTTTTCTGTTCACGCCTGAACAGGCAATATAACAAACACACAGTAACGTGTCAACCATAAAGCATGCCACTGCAGCCAATTAGGATTATTCGATGTGCATCTTGATTGTAAGAATTTCATTTGTTGGTCCCCCAAAAAATACTCAGCGTCCAAAATCAATCAAGAACAGGAGCAAGGAGGTCAGGTGAAATGTGTCCGCTTTTAGAAGAAAATGACATCGATTTTTAAGGTAGTGCGCGGCACCCTAATTTCCACACCCTGTTTTCCATTAGCAAGCGGATTCCTCTAAAATGCCAGCACTTTAATTTTGGAATTCAGATGAATAATCGCTTAATACTAAGAGATTTGATACTGTGACAAAAAGCGAGGAGCCTAGCTTACAGTCTATCGGACAGGCTGGATATGCGAAGTGGTTGTCGAGGCAATCTTTACTAGTGTACAAACGCTTTCACAAATTAACGATTAATTCTTCATGTGGACCAAGTGCAAGCGTTCATTATTCAGTTGAGTAGGGCACCTTGCTACTGGCAGTAATGTCTTAAGAAGAGGGTGGGTTGAAACCTCGTATCTTCTAATGGATATTTGAGTGCATATGGTAAGTGACATGCACTTTTTTCTCTGGCAAATGCTTCTGTGAAGAGTCAGTTAATCTTCATGGTATTCACGCACTGCCTGCTTAAAGAGAACTTCACCGGTGGTTATACAATATTATAACTGAGCACTAACAGCCATTTCCTTATAGAATTATGACGGGATTTGCTGTCAACTAAATGGACATCTTTTTACACGACTGTAACGGTCCCGTCGCAACTAACGTTCTGACGGGTTGAGCAGAAAAATATACATGAGCCCTGTATTACATTTCTCTGTTCTTGTCTTTATCCGACAATATATTTAGGGATTCGATACTCGGCGTCATTTAAAGAGGAGGTGGATCCACAGCTTCTTCAGTGGTTTCTGTGTAAAAATCTTCGAGACCTAACCTATGCTAACTAGCATTCGAAACCATACAGAAATGTGACTGGAAGTTCTTTTGAAATTTATGGAGTTCACCATACCTAGTACAAAGTAATGTTTCCTTAGCTATCCTATATCTCATGGAAGTGCAATGGACCTAATCGAATTCTAGGCGCTCTGAATTCCGAACCTCTTACAAACGACAAAATCTGAGTTCCCGATTAGAATAGAAGTTTTGTGCCCCTCTGTTTTTCAGTGTTTGTGATTTGGGGTGACATCAAGAACAGCATCATCGCTGGTTTTTAAAATGAATAAAAACGTGTGGACAATTACATCAAAATTAACCCTTCAAAATATCCGTCTAGTCAAGTGATAGCATTTCAGACAAATACTGACGTTTTAGGACGCATGTTGTTCTACAGATCAACAGTCATTTGTCATTTGTAGCACATGGTCGATCAGAACACAATCTGGCGGGCTGTCCCGTTATAACTATCGACCAGCCTTCAGCTGAGACTGGACTGGTCGACATCACCCTGACTGGTGGTGAAACGTTTGCAGCCAAACTGTCCAGCTCAGTTAAACAAATCAACGACCATTACGTAAACATTTGACGAGCTTATAGCAGCATGAAGTCCGCTGCTTTTAGGTGGTAACTCTTCTAAAAGAGACAGAGGAACAAGTGACATGTGTGAAATCACCAGTTCAGCTTTGTGCCGTGGACATCCGGGCCGCCGGTTGGTCGCTGCCTTTCGATGTTAACCTAAACAACGTATGTCTGACAAACATCATTATTGCTTACGAGACAACGTTCACCGTTTGGTCCACAGAAAATCGTTGATGGTTGCGGTCTTTGTTAGTTCGGAGCTGTTAGTCTTTACAAATTTACTACCACTTGTTTATCAATCCTTTGACTCCAAATTTAGTCGTACATTCATGAGACTTATTATCAGTGTGGTGGAATATTTGTAGGTCGGATGCATTCATTGGTAATTGATTAGGTGATTGTTGATCGCTTGGCAATAGATACAGAAACTACAACGTCCTCTGTTGGAGCCGGTAACATAACACAATAAGTTGTGATACGGCACGAGTTAATCAATATGTTTGTCAAGTGCGCCAGCTTTGGGGACAGTTACACGAAAACATTGGTCGGCTATTCTAATGGTGTATGTCTATGTGCGTACGTTGAACTCGATAAAAGCGTGAATTCGCACCTGCTGTTTCAGCTTTTTATGTATATATATATACATATATGTATATATAGATATATACATATATGCATATACAATCCGACCGGTGGGATCCCGTTTTAGCTGGTCCAGTGGAAGCTTCCATAAATCCGACCTTACAACTCACCTTAGACAATGAACCTGGTGGAAAACACCACCTTGATAAAGACTGATTACCGTGTGAAAACATAGTCCTTTTTCCTCAGTTATTTCTAAATTCTTCGAAAGTGGTGATTTGCTGCGATAAGCTGAGTTAGGGTCAAATTAGGGTATAGAATCATTCACACTGAATTTAGCAACCAAGACCACATTGAGAGCTGAATGATAACGAGTAAGTTTAGTTTTTGCTGAAGACTAAGTGCAGGTCGTTGCAAGACTCACACGATCCTCTTGGACGTGTCCGTCTAGGCTAAAATTATCTAAAATCATGTCGAACAAAATACAGGTTAGTGGACATGAGACGCCGGATTGACAAAACAATAAATTCGTTTTATCCAAAGAATCGAATTCAGTGGCATACAGTTACTACCTGAGCGCAGGAAGAGGAGTTGGCAATTTAGTGACACCAAAGATGACGCAATGTGCATTACATGGACAGGCCAAAATGTCATATGACAACGGCAACCAAAGATGTTGCACGGTTGGTTTTGTGCATGCAAGCCGGCTTCTGAACGTAAACCGACAATGAATATTTGATAGACAGAAAGTTCCTGTTTGGATTGCTTGATATCACTCGAACCGAAGCCCTCAGGTTTATCTAGGAACCGATTTGCAGCAGGTGTTTAGAACATGGTGTGCAGGTTCACAGTTTTGATTTCAACATTTCGGAGTTACCTGACCCTGTTGATGTGTACCCTGTCTTGCTTTCTGATGGAAATACAACCATGCTGCTGATGTAAAAATGTGGCAAGCAAGAAGGGAAGAAGGAATGTGATAAGTTACGCCTAAAATATTGCAAAATCGTATCAGTCTTCGTCTGATGTGAATGTGTCGCATTTTAGAGTCAGGATGCTACCTAAATATAAAGAGCCGAAAAAGTTAGTTGATCGGCACAACTAGGCTGGATAATGGGTCTCCGTACTCTATTTTGATTAAAAGCCATATCTTCTGATTTTGAAAGCGCATTCGTCTTCAAACTTGGTACTTCAGGTGCGCCCAGTGTGCTCTAGTGTAGCAGCTGTAACATCCTTGTCTCTCTTGCCAGATGTCCTGGGTTCATGTGTTTGCATGTTCAAGAACTGTACTGTCGACGAGCTTAAGTCGGAGCGGAACTTGTCTCCAGTGCTCTTTGATGTAGAACAACCAGACCAGTTGTGCCAGGGCGAGATTGAAGCTTCCACCATTAGGGTTGTGAATACGACTTTGAAAAACCGGCATTCTTTAACTGGTAGCTTTTCAAGCGCTTTCACATGCTGAAGACGATTTGGTGTAAAGATGAATGCTTCAGAAAGCTCAGTTGGTATACTGTATGCGTATGCAGGCCTCCGTGTGCACGAATAAACTTGATTTGTGTACATAAGAACTAACGGGAATCAGAAGGTACAGACTGGTTTTCAGAGCAACACCTATGCGCGGTAATGCG